GTGAATTCCTACAAGTTTGCTCCGGGAAGACCTGATTTGGTCATAACCTGCATTGCCCTCCTTCACTAGGGCAGCTCCAGGATGATTTTGCCCACGTTCTTGTTCGCCTCCATATACACATGGGCCTCTTGGATTTCAGTCACTGGGTAAACTTTGTCCAGAACCGGCAGGAGACGCTGGGGGCCCTCCTTGGAAAAGTGAGGCAGAATTCGTTCTGTGAAAGCCTTTACCAACATTTGCTTGTACTAAGATAAAGAAAAGGAGACCATCAGCCTGGACAGATCCTTCCCTGCCAATCCCCACCCACCCTGTTTTGGCCTTGTTGCTTTCTCTGAAATGTACGAATGTTGGAAAAAAAGGTAATAGGGTGGCCCCCACAGAAAGGGAAAGTTCCAGGTGTCCTGCCCCACCCAAGGAAGGGTGGATCTGAGCTGGGAGAAGTCTTGGAAAGATGCAGAGCAAGAAGGAGACCTGGAGGAGATACATGAACACAGGGATGTGAAGAAACTGCACTTGCTTCTCTGTCTTGGACTTGTACCAGGGGCCTGAGGAACATGGAGGGAAATAGTTGAAACCGACCTGGATGAGAGACCCTGGGAAGATTAACAATGGCAGCTTTTATCTTGATTTTGCTCTTTTCCTTCTGGTCCTCCTGCCCCTTTCAAATGGGTCCCCATCAGAAGGTGCCTTAGACTTGTGTCAAACTTTTGGGGCTAAGCACTTCTGCCTTGGGACAACCCTCTTTGGTTGGGCATTTACCCATGAGGGGGTGGGTAACTTTGGGTGCTTGATTTGAAAATTATAGTATATATTCTTTCCCTTTTCTTCTCTTTACTGCACACTAATTAAAGTTCGTTTCCATTAAAGCTCTTCCCTACTAGACTGTTTTGTCTTGATGTGAAAGATGTCAGAACCTAAAGCAGGCAGGTTTGGGGTGCCTGGGATGCTCCTCACCCTGACCAGTAACAAAAGCACACATGAGTACCTAAAATCTTTCCCTACCAGCATGTATGTGTATGCCCTCAAATGTGTAAGCTCTGTTCTGAAGTGTATAGGAAAACATTAGTGTCACTGACAGCTGAAAGACTGTTTTTAAATAAAGGCTATAAGCAGGGGCAGCCGCACAGAGGACTCACATAGAGCTTAGTTCAAAGGGGAGGCTTAAGCTCTGCTATCCCCCAGCAGGTGTGAAACCACATGTTGGGAAACATTCCCAAAGCTGGTGCCACGCAGATTTCAAGATACAATCTGTTGAAGGTAGTCTTTCTCATCTTACTTGCAAAAGAGGTATTTTACATCCCTGAGAATTCTGCCTTTGGGAAAAAAGTCTTGGAAAAATTAGAAATATTTTTTTTAAAAGGAGAATTTTTAAAAAAAGATTTATTTATTTATGCATACAGACATGGGATTCAGGCCAGAGCTGCAGGGGCAGTGAGAGGATTCACCAGAGACAGAGTGGGGAGCAGAACAGGCCAACTAACTAAGTACACTGCTGAGGGGAGCAGTGGGCAGGTCAGGAGAGGTCTGCCGCACCATGTGGATTATCTCCGGGCAGGGGATTGAACTCATACTACAGCAGCTGCGGCCAGCTTGTAGTGCTGTGTCCTAACCCGTTGCACCACCAGGGAGGGCCCAGAAATATTTTCTAATATGGTCAGTGCTTTCTTCACTCTGAAGCCAAGTTTAAATAATAAATGAAGTGTTCTCTGCCCTCTTTCCAAGATGTTGAGGCTTCTATTGACTAAGTTAGTTTTGTGAGGGCCCTCCCGGGTGGTACAGTGGGTTAAAGTGCAACACTATGAAGTTAGCTGCAGCTGCTTTCGCACAAGTTTGATCCCCAGCCAGGGAGCTGACCCACATAGTGCAGACCTCTCCTGACCTGCCCGCGGCTCCTCTTAGCAGTGTATTTTGGCTAATCTACCTGTTCTGCTCCCCACTCTATTTCTGGTGAATGTTCTCACCATCCCTGTACCACTTCAGCCTATACCCCAGTTCTGTATGCATAAATAAATAAGTCTTTTAAAAAATTAGTTCTGTGAAGATGACATATATTTACCTATAGGAAGGCAAATTTCTACATAAGCTCTCTAATTTGTGACAGACCTTCCTAAGCTTGTGTAGGGGTAAGAGTTAATCATATATTTTCTTTTCACTCATCACTTACCTTTTTGTCTCTTGATCTCAGTAGACTAGTGATCAGATTTCCTCGTTTAAAAAGTAGCTTTGAAAACAGAGGTCCACTGATGTTAGCGCCTCCCATCAGACCATAGAGAACCCATCGACCATCAAGAGCCAGGCAGTTGACATTTTTCTCCCAGTAGGCTCCGCCTATGCAGTCTAGAATAAGGTTGACTCCAGTACCTTCCATATGAAGCACAGAAAGCTTGATGCAAAATAAGACCTGAGGTATTTGTGGATATAGGGGGATAACTAAATACAGGTATAAGTGGTAAATCTGTTAGTTGGAATAGAAGTGAGTTGGTGGTAAGAAGAGTTTAGTTAGCTGAACTCTATCAACCATGTGTGCTACAGGGTTTACGTTTACGACGCCCTAGCCACAGCAAGGGGGAAATTGGCAGCACCGGTATCTCCCTGGACACACACATAAGCAGAGAATCCACTGGTACCCAGGCATGGGTGAGAGCAGGCAGGGAAGACCCACACCAGATACAGGGCAGGCAGGGCCCGCGTGAAAATCACGGAAGGTCTGCACTGGGCTGTTTGAAATATAACTTTGCTGGCTTCAGTTTTCATCTCTCCTTTTCAACTCATGGAAAAATGGAAAGGGACGAACCCAAAATATATAGATTTGGCTTTGGAAGCTGAGGCTTGCCCTTCTGCTCACTCAAGTCGCTGCCGCCCCAATGCTACTATGGCCAGCTCCAAAGTGGCCTCTGTGCGGTGCCTCATGTTAACTCACTGTGGAGTGACTGGTGGGAAGAAGAGGTCCTGGAAAATTTTCGACACTGTGGTTTTCTAAGATATAGGTAAATTGTAGCACGTACAAGAATAAACATGGACGACATCTCCATGCTAAGGACTCACCCACCTGTCTCCATTAGTCAGACATCAGAGCACTAGGGTTTTGTTTTTTTTTTAAATAATATAATAGTTCATTCTTACATCATTTTGTGCCTTTTTCCATCTCAGTTGTTATCCCCGTGGGCTTCCCATATCACCCATGTGCCATCACCATAGTCCAGAGCGCTAGATTTTTTTTTTTGCAATTATTTTTTGATATGATGTTCCACTTGTTTGATTTTTTAAATGTATTGAACTATATATATATTTTTTTTACCTCATTCTTCATTTTGTGCATTTGATTGTAATTCCCATGGACTTCCCACCACCAATTCACCCATGTGCCATCACCACAGTCCTGTGTGCAGAGCACTAGGTTTGGGCCAGAGCAGCTGATCTGCATTTAGCAGGGGAAAGACACTAGCAATCTCCAGGCTGGTGAAGGTTCTATCATCATCTCTGAAATTCCTGCTGAGATGCGCAAGTTGTTTACCTTTGGTGAATCTCAGTGTTGCTTCAGAGAAGTCCTCTTCTTTGTAATTGAATCCAGCAGCTGCTCCAAGCTTTTCTGCCATTTGAAGTTTGTGCTGGGAGCCAGCTGTGACCAGAGGAATAGCTCCTGCCATCCTGACGAGCTGGATGGCAGCTGTGCCCACACCACTCGATCCTGCATGGATTAGCACAGACTCTCCAGCCTGAACATTTCCTGTGACAGAAAGCATAGGAACCACTCTTCACTTTGCAGTGGCTACACATTCCCCATGCAGGCATATCTTGCCATGGCGCATGGCACCTGGCTCTGGCACCACCACATGTCAAAGCGCTTGCTTTTTCAAGAGACCACATCGACAACTTGTTTTGTCTTCTCTGGACAAAGTGGGAAACACCTTTTGAGACAGCTATTAGTAGCCAGATCCATATAATCTCTACTTTAAGATTTATTTATTTATGCATACAAGAACTGGGGTACCAGCAGAGGTGCAGGGGCTGTGAGGAGTCACCAGAGACAAAGTGGGGGAGCAGAACAGGCAGCTGTACTGAAATACACTGCTGAGGGGAGCAGCGGGTGGGTCAGGAGAGATGCGCTGCACCATGTGGGTCAGGGATCAAACTCATGCTACAGTGGCTGCGATAGCTTCATAGTGCTGAGCTTTAACCCACTGCACCACCAGGGAGGGCCCATATGTATAAAATCTCTATTCAATCTGTGAAACAATACCAGAATGCCTACTTCTGAACTACACCTGAAAAAGTAACAGCCACTGTTTCAGCTGTCACCAACTGGAGCCAGTCCCTGTTCACTTCAAGATGCCTCCACTAGGTCACACTGAGCAGGCACCCACACAGCTGTCTCCTCCTCCTCCTAAACTGAGCTTTCCTGTATATTTCCTCCTCAAAACATAAAACAGTTCTCAATTGATTTTTGCATCAAGTTCAGACAAGCTGCCTTTCAAGATGACCGCCATCCGTCCCAGCCTCATCTCTTCACAAACGATAGTCATCATGCCTCATAAGAGAGAGCCATGCTCACTGGGACACTTTTCCTGAAATCACCCTGGCATGCTTCTGTCTATTTGTCCCCTTCCTCTTGCAGAGAGCTTCTGACCACCTTTGCCCCCCCCCCTTTCCCCATCGTGAGCTCCTATTGCGGTTAGAGATGGCCAATCTCCAGATGCAGGGTTGTCTAACACTTACACATGAGTGCTTTTCCTGATTACACTGAGCTTCCCAAAGTCAGGGCCAGGTCTTCTTAGGCCCCCTCATGTGAGTCCTTGGCCAGTCTCGGCGGGCTGGGGAGTTTGCTGAATGGCCACTAGTAGAAGCTGCACTGGGGATTCCAGAGCTCGGCATGAGGTTGAGAAGCTGGCTGCTGCTGGCTCTTCTGTGTGAAGAGGTGCAGAGGGCTCTCTGTTAACTCTGATTTTCAGCCTCAACAGCAAGCCATTACTAATGTGGCACGATGGCCTGATGATGGGTGGCAGATGGGTCTGGATGTGGCTTGGGCTAGAGTTGCCACAGAGCCCTGGTTTGGAGGTGGCTGAGTCATGAAGGATTGTGCCAGGTGTTGGGTGTGAAGAGTAAACATGGCGAGGGAAGATGGGGGGAGGGGCAAGGGTCCCTTACCAAGTAGATGTAGTAGCTGGAAGGCAGTGAGCCAGGCCTCCGGAATGGCTGCAGCCTGGGACAGGGACAGTCCCTCAGGGATGGGCATGAGGAGCCCTTCGGGGACAGTGACAAACTGAGCCTGGCCCCCGCCGGACAGCAGAGCCATGGCTGGGTCCCCAACTTTCCAGTGCCCCTGGCAGCCAGGCCCCAGCTCTGCCACGTGCCCAGATGCCTCGAGTCCCAAAATGCTGCTGGCTCCTGGGGGTGGGGCATACTGGCCTTGTCTCTGCAGAGAGAGGGGCACACCAAGTGGTGAGCAGGATCACAAGTCTGGCACCATCCCCCGGCCTCTTCCAATGGCTCCTCTTTTTTTTACGTCATTTTGTACATTTTTTTTTTGGCTCCTCTTTTTTACAGACAGAAAATTCAGACAAAGGCAGGTTTTGTAAGCCAGGAAAGAAAAGAGCAGTAACGTGTTTTATGCAGACCCACTCGTGGTCACATAGTTAGGGGGTATCACTTACGGTAGGGTCCTCATCGCCCTAAGATTGCAAATGGAGAAACTGAGGCCTAGGCAGGCAAATGCCTTGTCCAAGGCCGAAAAGCAGGACTAGGAAGCCTGCTGAAAGTGTGGGCTCCTTAAGGAGAGCTCTAGTTTATCAGGCACCAGTCTCTGTGCATGCCCAGCTGTCCCCAGAAGGCTTTAGACTAGAGGAGACGAACTAGGAGTGCGCATCAGAGCTCTTTGGGGAGATTTTTAAAACACACAGGCCTGTGTCCCTGTCCTGTTTATTTTTTTAAAGTGCCCAAGATGATTCTGGTGCACATTTCCACTTGCACCAATGCAGCTGGCCCAGTTTACCACTTCAAATGGCACCGAGTTTAGGGCGCTGCCCCCTGCTGTCTGGGACCCTCGCAGGGAAAAGTGCAATCTTTGCAGCCACCAAGACTGCAGTGTGAACCTCCTCTCATGTTGTGGCCTGGGGGTACTGCTTGACCTGTCTGACCCACAGTTCCTTCTCTAGAACACAAATGGTGACCTGGGGGTCCCGAGGAGTAGAAAGAAGAAGGACACCCACGTGCACACCGCCAACCCCCTCAACAAATGGTGGTGGCTCTACTTGTCCGGAAGCCTCAGCAGCTGACTACAGATTGACAGACGCGGGTTCTGCTTTGTAACTAACTAGTCCTGCATTTTGTGCAAAGGAAACTTAGAGGTTCCAAGTCTCAGAACCTCCAGCACGCCTTCACCTGGCCAGTCCTGCCCCTGCTGGTGTCCGATGCCCAGGTACCTGGAGCAAGTCGGCCCGGTTCAGGGCGCTGGCCACCACCTTCAGGAGGACTTCGCCCTCTCCCGGGCTCGGCTTGGGCACCTCCTTCAGGTGGAGGTTTTCTGGCCCTCCAGGCTGGTCAAAATGCACGGCTAGCATGTTCTCAGCGGACGCAGGAAGAGCCAGGCAGTCCGCGGAGCGCAGCCCGAGACAGCGCTGCAGCGCGCCCTGGCGGCCCGCGGGCTCCCTCGGTCGGTGCGGGCGCCGCTTCCTCCCCGGCGCCCACAGTCTCCAGATCCACGGGCCGGGTGGGTGGGGTGAATGTGCGGAGGAGGCGGCCGCCCCCCGCCGGAGGCCAGGCCCCAGCCCTCGGAGTTGGACTCCCCTCCCCACGCGGGCCGCCCCGCCGGCCTCAGTTACTCGCAGCCCCGGACCCTCGGGAGCCCCCGCGCCTGGGCCAGCCGCGGCCGCAGGGAGTGGGGCGCCGGACTCCGCGGGCGCAGGGCGGGGCTGACCCCAGCCAGCCCAACCCCCTTCTCCCCCCTCGCCCTTTAAAATGCAAATCTAGTGACAGCAAATGAGCTTTTCCTTCCCTTGGAGCCTCTGGAAACCAGTTTTCCCTCGGTGTGGCAGGGTTACTGACCCCGCTCTCACTGCTGGAGAGACAAGTCCCTCTCCCGGGACCCAAACCCGAACTCTGGGCGGGCGATCGGCCCGTTTCCCAGCCTGGCCGGCTTGGTCCCCTCCAACGCTTGGTCTGCCGCCTCTAGCCCCCGCGGGCAGGCAGCTGAGTGTGGGTGGCCGAGGAGAGGGCTGCTGAGGACGGGCGCGACGGGGTTACAGGGAAGGACCCTTCTCACGCCTGCTCTTCCTCGGGATTCCTGGCGAGCAGGGAGCTTCGCCTGCAAGTTGCTACCCAACTGGGGCCATTCTGACGGGCTCGGAGCTGTATAGATAGATACCACAGGGTCTCTCCACCTCGGCACCATGAGACATTTTGGAGGGAGGATTCTTGTGAAGTTAGGGATGTTTGGCTGCATTTCTGGTCTTTATTTATTAGAGACCCGCAGCCTGCGGTGGGTCTAGAGATAAAAATCTCTAGGCGCTACCAGATATTCCCTGGGGGCATAATTACCACCGAATAAGAGTCACTGGGCTAGGACAACACATGTCCCTGTATAAAAATAAGACAGGTGACATCTTCTTGCCGTCTTGTAATTTACCATTTCTTCCCATGCTTACTCATTTGAACTTCATAAACCTTCACTAAAAAGGAAACGGAGGGAGGTAGTAGGGGACTCTACCAGTTGGATTATCTGACCTAGAGCATATCTGCATAAAATAAACTACCTCTCCTCGCCTCTCCTTTTTTTCTGACTTACAAAATCTGACTTTATCCTGAATTTTCTTTTTTATTTTTTCCAAGATTTATTATGTATGCATACAAGAACTGGCCTATAGGCCAGAGGTGCAGGGGTGGGGGTGAGAGGATTCACCAGAGACAGAGGGGAGCAGAAGAGGTGAATCTACTGAAATACACTGCTGAGGGGAGCAGTGGGCAAGAAAGGAGAGGTCTGCTGCACCATGTGGGTCAGCTCCCTGGTTGAAGATGGAACTTGTGCAACAGTGTCTGCAGATAGCTTCATGGTGCTGAGACTTAACCTGTTGTGCCACCAGGAAGGCCCCTATCCTGAATTTTCTGTCTGAAAAAAAGAGGAGCTGTTGGAGGAGGACCAGGGATGGTGCTCACACTACTTGGTGAGCACTTCTCTCTGCAGAGACAAGGTCAGTATGTCCTGCCTCAGGGGCCAGCAGCATCTGGGCACTCTAGACACATGGCATAAGAAGAATAAATGGTTTTACGAGACATGCAGTTAGTGAGTGCCAGAGCCGGAGTCAGACTCCTACCGCCCCTGGTCCTGGTCTGAACTCTTCCTACTGTGCAGGCTGCCTTGCATGGTGTTTGCTCTATTTAGCAAATTTAAAAGTAATGATTGATTTCCTGGCATCTTAGAAAGGAGATCAGCGAATGTTCTTTAAATGGATAACATTATAGAACAGACTCATGTATCCATGGTGGGTTTCAGCTATTACTCATTTGGAGGCTCAGATAGTCTCATTTTGGACTAGCGAAACTTGCTCTCTAGCATGGCAGGTTTCTGAAGTCTCATCTTGTACATTTCCTGTCCCCAAACTGAATTCAGCCCCTTCTCACAGGAGTCTGGGTTCTCTGACTGGCAAGTGGTAACAGTGGGCACACAGGGTTGCTTCAGATCACCACTGTTCCTGGTCCTTTTTTGGTGGACAGAGCTGGGAGGGAAAATCCTGTTTTTAAGAGACAAATGATAAAGTGTTTTGCTGTTTCCAACTCAAACTTAGATTTATCATGTTTTCACTCCTGTGAGTACATAGTTTTGCAGAAAATCATGAGTCCAACTGATTTTAGCAGAAGGAGCCAGGCATTTAAAAAGTGGCTGAAGAACATTCTAAAGGGAGGACAGGTAAACGCCACGGCTCCAAGGCAGGAAAACGTGAGGAGCCTTTGAACAATCCAGCGTGCTTGCAGGGAGCAGAAGAACGAGACTGCAGCCCAGGCGCTGGGGCAGCAGGAGGCGGGGAGACCCAACCCGGGGGCGGCTCCGGGCCTGCAGTTTCCGTTTTACCCTGTGTGTTGCTTTTGCGGAGAATGGGCTGCAGGGGGCGCTGCAAGCACCAGGGTAAGAGGACACTGGCTTGGACTTGGATGGCATCAGGAGTGATGCGGAGGAGACTCAGCCCAGCTCACCAAGAAGGCAGGTGATGAAAGGGGATGCAGAGGCGGAGAGAGACAGGGAGTAAACTCCAGGGTTTGGGCTTGAGCTGCTATTCTTTTTTTTCTCATCTCTGAAAGGGAGACAAAAATACCCATTTCTTTTGGTCCTTGCGAGGGTCCCGTAAGAGTCCATTTCGCACAGTGCCAGGCACGCAACACATTGCACTTTCTTCCCTTGCTGATACAGGTGCGGTTCTCCAAGGAAAAGAAGGTGCCCTGGCCAGCTCAGGGAGGGAGGATGGAGGGTACTGGCACCCTCCCCTGAGTCTGAGCCAGAAAACCTCTTCCGCCCTGGAAGAGTCGCTGTCAGCTCCGGATCCCCGCAGCTTCCCCACTCCCACAGTGCCTGGGTTCCTGGAGTAAGCACCCCCCTCCTTTCAGGGCGCTGGCCACCTCCCTTCACGAGGAATTCCCCTTCTCCCTGACTCAGCTTGGGCACCTCCTTTAAGTAAAGTTCCTCCAGGTTGGTCAACGTGCACTGCTAACATCTTATTTGAGGGCACAGAGGTCGAGGGACAGAGGAAAGAAATGAAAAGTGGCTCACAGAAAGGAGCCCCGTCCCCCAAATCAGGATCACCAGGGCCCATGGGCCCCTCTCAACACTAGGTATCTGTCTGCGGGACCTAAATCCCCAAGCGTGGTGAAAGGGACGGGTGAGCTGGCTTTGGGGTGAAAGAAGCGAATCAAGTCTTCAGCGAGCATGGAGCCGAAGCATTCTCTAATGAGCGGGGTCCAGGATAGAGCGGGCTCTGTGGTAGTTCCTGTCCAGGGAGATAGCGGCTGCTTTCCAGGGTCTTGACGGGTAGGGGTGGGGCACAGGAAGGAAGTGGGGGGCATATCTGGAGCCATCCTAAAGGGAGACTCTCTAAGTCAGAACTGGGGTGGCTGGGCCTCACCTCTTGCCTCAGGTTCAACCTGCTGCTGCAGGCCTGGCTCCGGGAGTGACTTAAGTAAGTTCTGGGCAGAAGGCCCTTGCCTGGGATGTGGGTGCGTTCTGTTTGTTCATTTAAAAAAAAAAAAAAAAGTAGGCCCTTGCCGGTCACGCAGCGGGTTAAAGCGCAGCACTGGGAAGCTGACTGCTGCCTCCTTGGTGCGTGTTAGATGCCCAGCAGATGCACAGCCGATGCCCAGCCGGGACGTGACCCACATGGCGCAGCGGACCTCTTCTCTCTCGCCTGCTGCTCCCCTCAGCAGTGTACTTCGTCGATCTGCCTGTTCTGCTCCCCGATCTGTCTCTGGTGAATCCTCTTACCACCCTGCACCTCTGGCCTGTACTCCAGTTTTGTATGCATAATAAATATTTTTTTTATTTTATAATAGTTTATTTTTACATATCTTGTGCATTTTTCCATGTAAAAAATATTTTTAAAAAATTACCCTGGCAGGGCCCTCCCTGGTGGCGCAGCGGGTTAAAGCACTGCACTAAGAAGCTAAAGCCACTTCAGCATGAGTTCGATCCCTGCCTGCCCCGGAGGAGATCCACATGGCGTGGCGGACCTCTCCTGGCCCGCTGCTCCCCTCAGCAGATCAGAGTTGATTTGCCTGTTCTGCTCCCCACTCTGTCTCTGGTGAATCCTCTCATCCTCCGCATCTCTGGCCTGTACCCCAGTTCTGAATAAATACATAAATAAATCTTTAAAAAAAAAATTACCCAGGCATTCTAATAGTGTTGGTTGCACACGTTTGGTCCTTGAAGGAAACAACCCCTCCTCCAACCCCAGGTGGGGGTGACCTGTCTTCCTCCCTGCCCCTAGGGCTGACAGTATGGCGGGTGCTGTGCAGCTGGAACTCTGGATGCTGTGCAGGTGGAGGACGGTCACACAGCAGTGGTCCTGGCTCCTGCCCTGAACACAGACACCATGTTTGGCAGCCGGGGTGAGCATACTGGGCCCAGCTCGGTGCCAGTCCTGTGGTAGGCAGAGGAGGAGCAGTACAGACTGTGGGGAAGTATGAAGAAGGTGAGGAACAGGGACCTCAAAACACCCCCAGGATGACGCTAAAGGCTGTGGGGTCACCATGGATGAATGTGACTATGCTCACTGAAATCTCACAGAACCCCCGACGGTTGGGGTGGGAGATAATTCCTTCCAGATGTCCTGTGGGCTCCCAGCACCCACAATTGTTTTGTGCAGTTCTGCTGAGTCACCTTGAGACAGCAGCTTCGCTGGTGACCACACCCAAGCTTGTGGTGTGGGTTAGTGATGACTCATAGTTCAGAACACCCAGTAGTCTGAGTGTCTACCCCGCAGAGATGGGGCATTCCACCTCTGGGTGGAAACCAGCTTTGCAAGCCTGCAGAATTTTCTCTGGGTAATTCCTCCCCTCTGCCTGTGGGTGCAAAATCCTGAGGCTGCTGGTGCAGATCCTAGGAGCAGGGATTTAGAAGGCTCTGGAAGGGCTCTGAGCCAGTCTTGTCCACCCCTGTCCTCAGAGGGCTGCCTGTCTTGCTACCTGCACACTATCTTCCTGGGTACCCATCTGTGCTGCTCAGGACCTCAAGGCATTTTTTTCTTATTCCAGGCAATCGTTTTTATTGTTCATTCTCAAACTGACGGAAAGCATTTTCAAAAACTACTTGTCCCCTTTGTATTTTAAAATTGTTATCTAAAATATTTCCTCTTAAATTTTAATATTTCTGGACATAAATACTGATATTTTACACCAGTCTTTTACATGTGTCAGATGGAATCCAGATATTAGAGCAATTTGACATGTATGATCATCCACAAAAATACCCAATTTTTATTTTAACAGTTGGAAGCTTTTAAATTTTATTTTTTCCTTCCTTGTACTCATGTATTTTCATTCTACCTTTCTAATAGAAAGATATCCTACTATTGTTTATGCTTTGTTGATCATCCTCATCTGTAGCAAAAATATGAATGTAAACTGACATTAATTCAAGACAAATATTTCCTGTGGTCACAGGGCTCCGAGTGTTAAATTTCTTCTGGATTTAATTATCATCACAATATTATTAATCCACAAGTGAGTAAAAATATTAAAACTAAAATTTTATATTAAGTATTGTTTTGATTACTAAACATAAAAAGTAAATTTTATTGGAAAGGCATTTCTTAATGTTGTGGGTGAAGCTGAGTTTTTCCAAATAATTCTATGAGTGGGTGAATATTACTTACTGCTAGAATGAAACTGGGCTCGACATTAATTCTCTTCCCATTTTTCATTTTTATAAACAAGCTCTGAGAAATCTAATTTGCATAAATGAGATGAGAAAGAAAAAATTTCATTATAGGATGTCAGCCAATTTTTTGCACTGAGTTATATAGTAGAAACCACATAATGACCTACCATCAAAAATCATTTAATGATCTATTAGTTTGCAACAAATTTCAATAGGTCTTCCTTCAATCTTGTGGAAAGCAGTGTTAGAAATCACTCAGCCAATAAAGAACTTGTTATCCAGTCATAGGTGATTCAGGTTCTCAGCTTCTGGGATTACTCCAGCAGAGTTTTGTGAAGATTTCTCAAATGAGTACTAATTATACCTACTTCTTTTTTCACTCAGTCACCTTGTCTAAATTGATATACTCACCAAGTATTTGGAAAGTTCAAGTGTTTACTTAAATACATTTGGTTAAGATAATTTTGGGGGACCAAATCCACTTACTTCATCAAGTGCTTTAAATATATTTTCATAGGCCCTCCCTGGTGGTGCAACAGGTTAAAGTGCGGCACTGCAAGCACATCTGATCCCAGCCCTGCCCGTGAGGTGATCCACTTGGTGCAGCAGACCTCTCCTGACCGCCCTCAGTACACTGAGCTCCCCTCAGCAGTGTACTTAGTCGGCCAGTTCTGCTCCCCACTCTGTCTCTGTGAATCTTCTCACTGCCCCTGCACCTCTGGCCTGTACCCCAGTTCTGTATGCATAAATAAATAAATCTTATAAAATGTATTTTCATAAACATCTTGTTGCTGCAGACTTAAGTCATTTATGAAATCATCTATTGTATTCTAGCTGGCAAAGCCTACATTGTTAAACTAATCAACCTCATCAAATTAATTTGTCAGAAAGGTTTTCTCATTTTTCAATTCAAAAAATTATGTTAATAGGTGTCCTTGTAGCAGCTCTCTTTTCTGAAAAAATATATAGACATGGATCCTCTACTCTTAGAAGAATTATAATACAATTTATTTTTATTTTTATTTTTACTATTTCTCACTGATTAGTGGTCCATGCTTGGATGGCCTTTGCTCTCAGGTCCCATGGGGGTGATATGGACCAGATTCACATGAACTGCATTACGTCACAGGACCCTGAGTTCAGGGATTCTACCTACCTCTTTTAGGACAAGCAGTAAGCAAGCTTGCTCCTGGTTCTAGAGGGAGACATTACTTGATTTTTCAAAATTGCTTGCTAAAACATAACCCTCAGAAATAGACTAGATAAAGAGTGGTTAGGGCCTTGTATTCTTGGCATATCCAGCAAGATGTGTAGGAATAAGTGACTCATATAATGTTCAGTGATGCCTAGTGATGTCAGTGTTCTTATATTAAGGCCAATGAATGAACACAAAAACCAAAAAGAGGCCCTCCCTGGTGGTGCAGCGGGTTAAAGCACAGCAATAAGAAGCTAAAGCCACTTCTGCATGAGTTTGATCCCCGCCTGCCCTGGAGGTGACCACATGGCGCGGCAGACCTCTCCTGGCCCGCCCGCTGCTCCCCTCATCAGTGTACTTCTTCCATCTGCCTGTTCTGCTCCCCACTCTGTCTCTGGTGAAGCCTCTCGCCGCCCCTGCACCCCTGGCCTGTACCCCAGTTCTGTATGCGCAAATAAATAAATCTTCAAAAAAAAAAAAAAACAAAACCAAAAAACCAAAAAGAACAAGTTAATTGTTGTTGAACAAGTTGGGTGATCTCTTGAAATAAGGAAAATTGTTCCTTTAACTCATTCAGATCTTTTCAATATTTCTGCTCAGTGTTTTTTCAACCACAAAATAAGGCATTACTTTTTCTTTAGAATCTATCGATTTCTTCTAAAAAATTATGTCTTTCACAGTCCTCTGATGACTCATGTTCCTTTTCTTCTTAGATATTCTGCTGCAAGAAAATACAGTATGGTTATAATTTGTGAGCAGTAAATTACTACTGCAATATCATTCATTAATTCCACACATGCTGGTGACAGGTACTATTTGCTAGGCTCCATGATAGCTACAAGAAATACAAGGATGGCCAGAGAGTTATGACCCAGTTCTGCTTTCAGAGTCTAGGAAAACAGTCATATCAAATATGCTACTAAAATCTTTCATAATAAAACAATTTTAAATAGTCATAATTCCTTATTTTTCAAATTTTCTATAATGATCAGGTATAATTTTTGAGAGGAGAGAGATAACTGAAACAAGGAAATGGAAGTAAATATGAGACAAGTAATTGACTCCTGATTAGTTATAAGCATCATTCATCCTCAAGCATCCAACGACTTCCAAGAAGCCCATTCCTTCTCAACGCAGTAGAATGATGTTACCTCTGTCCTTCTACATAATAACATTATTTGAAGTCATCTGTACCCTAGCAAGACTCCCAATCTTGAATGTGGGTCACAGAACCTACATTAAAGTGGCCACGCAACTGCTCTGGTTTTCTCCAGAGGAGATATGGAGAATTAGCCCCAGTGCCAGCTTCCAGGAGAGAGTCTGGGCTGCTGGCAATCTATTCTAGCTTTATTTCTGGGCACCTTTAGCTAGATAATCAGGCACAATCTACATGTCTCTGTTCTGCCTTCCTGTTCTTGCCCTAAGTTATTGAGATGGAACTGTAAGGTGGAAAGTCCAAAAGCCCATAGTCAGCAACCCAATCCACATTGCCCTGTTATAGAATCTCTTCAAACTCTTCTCAAAGGTGGCTTTTTTTAAAAAAAAGATTTATTTATTTATGCATACAGAACTGGGGTACAGGCCAGAGGCGCAGGGTCAGTGAGAGGATTCACCAGAGACAGAGCAGGGAGCAGAACAGGCTGACTGACAAAGTACACTGCTGAGGGGAGTGGCAGGCAGGTCAGGAGAGGTCTGCCAGGCCATGTGGGTCACTTCGGGGTCAGGGATCAAACTCTTGCTGAAGTGGCTTTAGCATCTTAGTGTTGTGCTTTAACCCGCTGCGCCACCAGGGAGGGCACTCAAAGATGGTTCTCATCACCAACTTAAGGATTTCATCCTGAGTTGGGTCCTGCACTGGCTCAGTCCACTTTATTCCTAGAGTACCCCACTGCCTGCTGTGTTGCATGGTTTATGGTAATCGGTGCCAGGGAACTGTGACCCTGGGAAGGTCTGTAGAGGTACAAGTGTGTGTGAGAGTACTGTTGTTGTGATGGTACTTCATGGAACAAACCCAACCTTCTTAGGAGAGACGGACAATGAGTTTTAGCTTTGCACCAGTGCCTGGGATCCGTTTTCCTCTGCCTTAGCAGCCTCTACCCTTCCAGTGGCTGTGTAAGTAACCCCACTGTCCTGCCTGAGAGCTCCCCTTACTGCTCTAGTTGCTGTGAATCAGGCCTTTGTGACTTTCAGTGGGAAGGCTCAGCTACCATAATCAATGAAGACAGGCACTGGGTAAGACAAACTTACCCAACTTCTCCGTGGCTTCCACACACACACCAGGATACATGCCCTCAGTGTAAGTTGCTACCAGAAGATACAGATGGGTCTTCACAACAACCACACCAGTGTTCTCCTGGAGGAGAACAAAACAGAGTGCCCTTCTCATGTTCTAATACAGGACTGGCAGTTATGATCCAGTCTCATTGTCCACCACTTTCTGACTTCCATATATTCATATATTTGTTTTTGGACTCTACCCTTTTCCACTAACTTAGCCATGTTGCCTCAGAAAGAGTTGGGCTGTTGTTAATACTGCCTGTATATTTCCCATGTTACCTGAACGATTGCAATATATCCCCTACCTGAATGTAAATAGAGGCTGTGATACAATTTAGTAATGGAGTTTAGTGTTTAGCTCTGGGCTTGAAACTCAACACCTCCATTATCTGCCGAATGACCATGGCAGAGTTATTTGTAAGCCACAGTGTCCTCACCTGTAAAATGAGGCTACTTATTTATGATGGGGATGAAGTATGTCTAACCCGTAACATAGGGCATCCAGTGAGTGTGAATTTTAACTCTTTATTGATTGCTTATAAGCAACAAAGAGAGGCTTTTCTCTTTTCTTGAGGAGGAAAACGTAGCATATGAAGGATGGACGCAGTAGAGAGAAAGAGTGCAGGCGAGGTTCAGCTTAGACTTAAGAATGAAAGGTTTTCCAAAACCAGACTCTGTTAGTGCTTCCTTTCACCTCTGTCTGCCCGCCGCTGGCTACTGTCGCCAACACTGCACACACAGCCTTAGCTTGTTTTATAGATAGGTTCAGGAGGGGCACAGACTGGAGTCAAATTCTTGAGAGTTTTAACCAGCTGTCTTCAAATCTTGAACACTTACATTCTTAGCATAAAGAGAATAATCATCTGCCCGGACACATCTGTAATCCTTTTCCTTGAAATACAACCCTTCTCTTCGGGCTTGCAAAGGGTTCTTGGCGAATCCATTCACAAGCGTCCGGACATCAGAGGGCATTACCTGAGGAGATGGAATAGAGTAGAAGTTGGCAAACTAAGGCAGGCAGTCAAATTTGCCTGTTTTTGTACTCATGAAAGTTGAGAAGAGTTTTTTTACTTTTAACTGGTTGGGGGAGAAATCAAATGTGAAAACTGTCTGAAATTCAAATTTGTGTCCACAACTAAAATTTTATTGGGTCACACTCACACCCCTTCTTTTATGTGTTGTGAATGGCTGCTCTCCCGTCACAACTGCAGAGCTGAGTACTAGTGACAGACAGCCTATGATCCAGAAACCGAACATATTGACAAGAAAAGTTCAGTTAAAACTCTTAGGTCTGGGCCCTCCCTGGTGGTGCAGCGGGTTAAAACACAGCACTAAGAAGCTAAAGCCACTTCAGCATGAGTCCGATCCCGCCCCGGAGGTGACCCATATGGCGTAGCAGACCTCTGCTGACCCACCTGCTGCTCCCTTCAGCAGTGCACTTCGTCAGTTGGTCTGTTCTGAGCCCCACTCTGTCTCTGGTGAGTCCTCTCACCGCCCCTGCACCTCTGGCCTGTACCCCAGTTCTGTATGCACAAAAAAACCCAAACCAAAACCTAAAAAACCTCTTAGGTACACAGTTGCTTATTCTTACATTAAATCCAGGTGACGCTACACACAGGGAGCGCTCGTGGAGTTTGATAAGGGCTGCATTGTCCACATGCTTTGTCCCCAGGAGGGTGTCTAAGAGCAAATTCTGCAAATGGCTCATGCTCCCTCAGATCTGAAAAAGGAAACTGCAGTTGACTGATTGGTTGTGGCCACTCTCTGAAAGGTCTCTGAATACAAACTCATCTTTGTGCCCCGCCTGAAATACTCTGGACACCCCCATGCATACTTTGAAAAGATGAACAATAAAATGGCCCATCATCCAATGTCCATAATACGCAAAGAGAAAAATAGAAGGCTAGACGATCGCAGTTAACACAAAGCGGGTTATACACGAGATATGATAGTACATCACAACCTCATATTTTTCAGTCAATGGTGTATCAACTGCGGTTAAAAAACAAAAGCCAAAACGCCCTGCTGCGATTGAAAACCACCAAGCAGATGAAAACCAATAACCCAACTGTCACATCCACTTAGCAACTGCCCAGTAGCCCGAAGGGGCTAAAAACACCTTGTCAGACACTTAAAACCACATTTTCGCCACAAGTACTCGACTTGTAGGGCCTGTCTCATCGGGACTCCCGCCACAAACACGCACAGGCGGCACACGGGGCTGGGGGGCCGCCGAGGGCCAGCCGAGGCCCAGCGATCTCTGGACCTTTGACTCAGGCTAGCGACAGCCGCGGGGCAACGGAGCAGTGGGAGGGCGGGGCGGAAGGCCAACGTGCCCAGCTATTGGCTGCCACAGCTGCCCGTCAAGGCCTGTGGCTCCACCACTCGCCCACCGGCGCCGCCCCTCGGTGCTCCGCGGGACGAGGCCGCGGAACTAGTTGCGCTGGGTTCAGGGTCCCGGCGGGCTCGGTCCTGTGGAATTCGGGGTCCGCCCTTTGCCTCCGGACGCGGACTCATTTTCATCCGCCACGGCGGAGGGGCCGTAGGGGGCTGAGGCCGAAGACACTGGACGCGAACGTTCTCGCGTTCTGAGGGCCGGGCACCTGCTGACTGCGCGCCGCCCCACGCCTCGCTCTCCCGCTGCAGCCCACCACTCCGGGCCGTAGGCGGTCGGGCAGTTCCCGCGCGGTGTCGGGGAGCCGAAGGCACTGCCGCTCTTAGGCGGGGAGCTGAGGTGCCCGTCGTGGCCGGCACCTCGCTGCCAGCCGGGCGCAGGCCGCGCGCATCTGGCTGATGGGGCGGGAGCGAAGGGTGGGGCGCGGGCGCTGTGAGCCCACAGGGCAGGTGCAAACCCTAAGAACAGCGCCTCGCCCAGACCCAGCCCTGGGGGGTCGGGGGTGGGGCGGGACTTCCGAACTTTCAAAGCTGGAGGAACCCCCGCGTTTTGCCCCAACGCTCCTCCCTTGCTTCTCCAAGCAGCCCCCGGGGGGCATGCAACTCGCCATTCGCGCCCAGCAGTCAGAAAAGTGCAAACCCGGCTCCTGGAGACCAGGCTGACCACTGCCACGCCCGCTTGGCTGGCCTGTATCGCAGGCGAGCGAGCAAATGCTGGGGCGAGGGGGGGGTCCAGCGACCCGCTTAGGCAGGCTCTGAGGACTGCAGCGAAGCCTGCGGTGACGGCCTGTTAGAGGACGCCTCGGTGGCTGGTTTCTGTGTTGGATCCATGTCTGCTCTTGGTCACACATAATGAATTTTGATTAAACAGAAAGGAAAATAAGATTATTGTGAGGGCTCATTACTAAGTAAGCTAATTTTTTAAGTTTTTTCTAGGGGCTCTGTTATTTGTGACTACAATGAAAAACTTAGACAGTGATGACTATGACTATTTTCTCAAGCCCAAGAGCTCGAAAGAATGGCTGGAGCCGCAACCACTTCCTTTTATGGAGGTATAATAATTTGGCGTTTTCAATTTTATACTTGGATGGTTGCATCGAGAAGGGCCTTCTGCTGAGTATTTTTCTGTTTTATTCTGGTCTGTGTTGTTCCCTCCTTTCTCCTTTGCGTTTGCACTCCATTTTCTGTTTTCTTAAGCTCAGTGCTTACATAGCTTTCCTAATATAACAAAACAAAGTTTCTCATCAAGCACGGCTTTAGTTGCACCATCCAAATTTTTATGCTGTGACTTTTTTGATTGTGATTTTTTTTCCAAACTACTTTATTAAGGTATCCCTTATATACAACAAATTGCATGCATTTGAAGTGGAGAGTTATAAATTTTAATTTGTCACACAAGAAGCCACCATAACCAGGATAGTGAACATCCAATACTTCCATTTTCCTCATGTATCCCCTTGTAATTCCTCCCTCTGCCTATTTGGTTTCTATTACTATAATTAATTTTGCATCCAAAAACTTTTATACATGTGTAACTTTACAGCATGCATTCTTTTTGTCTGGCTTCTCTCACACAGCGAAATTATTTTGCTACCCATTCATGTTGTTGCCTGTATCAATATTTCATTCCTTTTCTCCCCTAAATGTTTTCTACCCCAGTTTGTCCATGCTGTTGAAGAACACTTGGATTGTTTTCAATGTTTAGCTGTTACAAATAAAGCTGTTAGGAACATTCATTCACATGTCTTTGTGTGGACATATGTTTCCATTTCTCTGATTTCCATTCTAATTGTAGAATGGGTGCATCATTATGATAAATGAATTTAATTTTTTATGAAACTGCAAAGGCAATTATTACATTTCCACTAGCAGTAATCGAGTTTCAGTTCTTCCCATACCAGCCAATTGTTTTGACTGTGTAGTACCTAGTCTGTAAAGCTGAGACATTGTAACAGATTCGTAAGTGGCATCTCATTGTGCTTTTGGTATGTTTCCCTAATGATTAGTGATGTTGAACGTCTTATGGCTTTCATTTTATTTAATATATCTTTCCTGGTGAGGTGTTTGTTCAAATATTTTGTCAGTATTTTTGTTGGGATGTTTGTTATTGTAGCTTTTACTGCTGAGATATAATACTCCTACCATAAAATCCACTGAAGTGTACAATTCAGTGTTTTTTTTTTTTTAGCATATTGACAGGGTTGTGCACTTTTCACTATTATCTAATTCCAAACTATTTTTGTTGCCTCAGGAAGAAATGCCATACTCTTTTGAAGTCATTCCCCCACTTCCTATATTGCCTGTGGCAACCACTACTTCTACTGTCTCAGATTTGCCTATGGACAACTTACACAACTAGAATCATGTTTTTATGGCTGACTTCTTTCACTTAAGCATAATATTTTTTTTTGTTTTGAATTCTGAGTATTTATATCTCATTCTAGAAATTCAAATATTTTCTAAATATTAACTAACTTTAAATGATATTATATGTCATCTATAATTTTTTTTATTACCAAGTTTATTTTTACATCATTTTGCACATTTTTTTCCATCTCTATTGTAATCCCCGCGGGTTTCCCATCACCAAATCACCCCTGTGCCACCACCATAGTCCCGTGCATTTCTCTCCCTTCCCCCCCCCCTTTTTGATCCCATTCCCCACTCCACCCCCACAGAATGTCTCTAGTATATGGTTGTTCATTATTTTTGTTATTTTCTCGCCCGGTCCATTATACTCCTGCTATGAGTGAAACCATCCGGTATTTTTCTTTCTCTTTCTGGCTTATCTCACTAAGCATGATCTTTTCCAGCTCCATCCAAGTTGCTGCAAAAGACATGTGTTTCTCTTTTTTGGTTGCTGAGTAATATTCCATTGTATATATGTACCACATCTTTTTTATCCAGTCATCTACTTTTGGGTATTTGGGCTGCTTCCATGTTTTTCCAATTGTAAATAAAGCAGCAATAAACAAGTATCTTTTTCAATCAGTGTTTTTGTGTCTTTTGGGTAGAGACCTAGGAGTGGGATTGCTGGGTCGTAGGGAAGCTCCATGTTTAGCAGTTTGAGGAACCTCCAAACAGTTTTCCATAGTGGTTGTACTAGTTTGCATTCCCACCAGCAATGCAGGAGAGTTCCTTTTTCTCCACATCCTCGCCAACATTTGTTGTTGCTAGTTGTTTGAAGATGTGCCATTCTCACTGGGGTGAGGTGGTATCTCATTGTGGTTTTAATTTGCATCTCCCTTATTACGAGTGATGTTGAACATTTTTTCATATGCTTCTTGGCCATCTGCATTTCCTCTTTGGAGAAGTGTCTTCTTAGCTCTCCTGCCCATTTTTTGATGGGGTTGTTTATTTTTGTTGAGTTTCATCAGTTCTCCGTATATTTTTGTGATCAGTCCTTTATCGCTACTTTTGTGTGAGAAAATGTTTTCCCAATTAGTGATCTTTCTGTTTGTTTTTAGTAATGTCTCTTTTGCTGTACAGAAGCTCTTTAACTTGATGTAGTCCCATCTATTTATCTTTGCCTTCACTATTGTGGCATTGGGTGCTCTGTCTTTAAAGATGTCGCTGAAGTGTATGTCGTGTAGTGTTTGACCCATCTTTGCTTCTAGGTATTTTATTAACTTAAGCATAATATTTTTAAGGTTCATCTATGTTGTAGCAGGTATCAGTATTTCATTTCTTTTCATGACCAAATAACATTCCATTATGTGACAGTGGCAAATTTTGTCTTTTCATCAATGGATGGTCGTTTTTATGGGGTTGTTTTTAGTTTGGGTTATTTTGAATAATGCTGCTACAAATATTTGTACAGAATTTTCTGTATGAACATATTTTTTTCTATTCTTTTTTGGGCATAAAATCTAAGAGTGGAGTAGCTGGGTCACATAGGAACTGACTTTTTGGGGAGATACCAACTGTTTGCCACAGAGTCTGTGCCATTTTATGTTCTCATCAGCTATGTGGGAAGTTACTTGTGTCTCCACTTCTTGGAGCTCACTGATTTTCTTGCATTTGTAGGCTTATTGTTCCAACACATTTGGAAAAAATTTAGCCATAATTTCTTCAATTTTTTTTCCAATCCACCTTTCTTTTGGGAAATATAATTTGGGAAATATGCATGCATGCATATATATATATATATATATATATATATATATATATACCAGCCTAGTGATACTCTTAATTTTTTTGACTCCCCCTCCTTCTTTTTCATTTTGGACAGTGTCTATTGTTGTAAATTTATTTCTGTAGCATCATAGCCACTGGCAAGCCTGTCTGGTACATTTTCCATCTCAGATATTACAATTTTCATCCTCAGGAGTTTTAGTTGGATAGTTTTCATATTGTCCCTGCCTGTAAACATTTAATATTCTGGCCAAATAATTTTATTATCTATCATTTCTGAAATAGTTTTGATTTTTTTTTCTTCATCTTTGCTATAATTTTCCTTCTTTGCATGCCTGGTGATTTTTTTTATTTATTCATTCAGAACTGAGGTACAGGGCAGAGGTGCAGGGGTGGTGAGAGGATTCACCAGAGACAGAGTGGGGAGCAGAACAAGTCAACTGTCGAAGTAGACTGCTGAAGGGAGCAGTGGACTGGTCAGAAGAAGTCTGTGGGGCCATGTGGGTCACCTCCAGGGCGGGGATGGAACTCATGCTGAAGTGGCTTTAGCTTCTTAGTGCTGTGCTTTAACCAGCTGCACTACCAGGGAGGGCACTGCCTGGTGATTTTTTTTTATTGGATGCCAAATATTGTCAATTTCACCTAGTTGAGTGATGGATATTTTTAATTTCCTATAATTATTTTGAGCTTTGTTCTGAGATACAGTTAAATTATTTCAATACAGTTTGATCTTTCAGGTCTTGCCTGCAAGCTTTGTGAGGAGGGAGGCTCACAGCAGCAACTGGCATGTGGCTAATTTTGCTTCCATATTTATTCAGAACCCCTCTGTGCTTTGCAAACCATGAGCTTCTCACCCCGTCTTGAGAGGAATAGCTCCTGGGGCTGTGTGGCCCCCTAGGGAGCTTCTTCCTAACTCTTTCAGGTGTCTCTTTGCCTAGGGTTTCCTTGGGTGGTTTCCTGCATGCATATCGTTTCTAGCATTCAGCAGATGACCAAAGCATCTTGTAGCAGCTAGCGCTCCACCCTGCGAACACTAGTGACCCTGGCTCCCCAGACCCCCACTTCTCCCACGGCTCTCACGTAAGGGATACTGCTGGGTTCCCTGTGACTTCTCTGACCACTAACGACTAAATGAACTCAAATAGAGGACTGATTGTATCTACTCAAACCATAAAGATGAAAATCATTTTATTGGCTGTGGAAAAAAGATGGGAAGTATAGGGGGAAAGTAGGTAGGACTTGTCTACCTACTCCTACCTGTCCACCTACTACTCTCCCTCGTCATTTGACCATGTTGCTACTCAAAATCTCTGCTATTTGAGTGGTGGTTTGTCATACCATGAGACTAGTAGAGAGCAGAAAGATTCAAATACTATCTAAAAAGTATTTGATGGTGTGAATTGAGGTAGAAAAGAGTATAGAGACTTTGCAGGGATGGTGTGAGTTCAAGTAGTACTAATAATTGCTTTCTTCTATGGTTTGATTTTCAAATTTTCATTGTGTCGTTTTAGGCATTAGCTAAAGAAGATGTTGATGCAGCTTTTCATTCAATATTATATAGAGAAAATTATGCAATTAAGGTAAGAATTGGTTGCAGAATGTCACAAAACTAATTTTTTTTTACTTTGATGTCGTACGTCCTCATAAAAATTTCAGAAAATTCAGAGAATAGAATTAAAAACTCATGAGCTTTTAGGACTAGTTGACTTCCTGCCTTTGTATCCTTTGTGGAGATTTCTTCACAGAGGCCCTGTCACTTACTCTCTACTTGCTGTTCCTTCATCTTGTGGTGCTTCCCTGGAGTAACTTAGTATCTGTTAAGAGCTTTAAGGATGCTCATTAGAACACACTAATTATTACTCAGGGATAGGTAAGAACCAAGATTTATCTGTAGCAGGATGGGTTTAATTCTAAGACCAGAAGAATGTCCTTATGAAGAATATTAAAGACTGACATGGGTAACTTGCTTTTGCTTTTCAGAATTTTCTTTAGAGTTGTTTGCAAAGGAAGGGAGGTCTTTATCTACCCCATGGCAGGGTGCTGGCACCCTCGCTCCTAAACACAACTATAAAGGACTGACACAAGCTCTTAGCAAGCCGAGACGTGTCTAGCTCTATTACATCGGGACTTCAAGAACCATGACAATGCTTCCTTTCTATGCTTGTCATTATTTTTTTCTGCAGCAAGTATCTTTTATTTCTTATTCTTTATGTAACCCCTTCTCTTCTTAGATAACTTGTCACTCTTTAGGACTCACTCCAAATATCTCTTACCTAGGGAATCTTTTCTTGATGTAAACTTCTCTCATTATAGTGAAATACAGATAACATAAATTTGCCACTAATAACTTTTTTAAGTGTGCAATTTAATGCCATTAATTGTATTCATTTTTTGTACAAACTCGACCACTGTATTTGCAAAACTATTTTATTATCCCAACCAAACGTTCATACATATTAAGCAATATCTTCCCATGCTCTTTCCCAAGTCCCCAGCCTCCAGTTTATTTCCTTTCTATGAATTTGACTAGTCTGATATTTTATGAAAGTGTAATCCTCTAACAGTTGACCTTTTGTATCTGGCTTACTTAGTATATTGCTTTCAATAGTCTTCACTGTTAACACGTATCAGATCTTCACTCCTTTTTATGACTGAACAATATTCTGTTGTGTTTATCTACCACATTTTGTTTATATATTCATCTCTTGTTAAACATGTGGTATTTACATCTTTTGACTAATGTGAATAATACTGTAATGAATGTATACAATATTATTATATATTATTAGTATACAGGAGTGTGTTTCAATCCCAATTTTAAAATCTCTGGAGTGTACACTCTCAAATAAAATTGCTAGTTCATATAATGACCCTGTTTAACTTCCTGAGGAACCACTAAACTGGAAATCTTGCCTTCAGTCACAACTGTCTATCTCCTATGTCTTGTGTGTGTGTGTGTGTGTCCGTTATATGTCCCTTTGCCCACTGTTGTATAGAGGCAGATATGTGATCTGTCTCCCCAGGAAAGCACGGCTGTGTCTCATTCATTTCATCCTTCCAGAATAGTGTGTGTGTGTGTCACACTTAGAAGCGAAATCAGTGACTGAGTTGATAATGATCTTGTGAGTTATTCCTAGGAACATAAAGTTTGAATTTTAGAATATGAAAGCTGTAGGATAATATATTTGTCTTTTCTATCACTGTTCACTAGGAACTAGATAAGTATTTGAAACATAATGACTTCTTAAATACAAGAAGAAAGGAGATACTATATAAAAGATGGGTTGACCATGTGGCAAATCCTCTGCAGAAGAAAATTATAGAAAAAGTTTGTTCACATAAGAAGATTAAAAACAGGAGAAAAGAAGAATTAGATGGTTTTTTAAAATACGTGAATAAACAGGTACTAAGAGATCATCTGATACTCTTTTCAGTTGGTTTAAAAATTAAGGTTAGGATCATCCAAACACTAAGTTCCCTTCTCCCAGATATGGCTAATCTAGATTCTGTGATAACACACACCTTCTTAGATCTAGGGCGTTTGGAAAGGATGGAGGAGGCGACTTTGGCCTGGGTTTCAACGAGTATTTTAGAACCAGTTTTTTCCCCTTCCTCCCATGTAATTATTAATTCTAAATACCAATTTTACAAATATTGATCCTACACATATGTTTTGTCTCTTTTTTTAAATTTGATTATTTGCAAAGCTATAACATAGTTTTATGTGCTTGTTATTTAAAAGAGATCCTAGAAACCTGACTATACTAATCATCAAAAAATACCAAGTATTTTTATGTTCTAACATTTTTAATTTAAAAGCTTGCATACTTTAATTATCTTCCTTCCATTACTTTAACATTTGCTATTTGGATAAATTAAATTTCAAATTCAGCCATCTTTTCCCTTTTGCATTTGTCATTCTTGAGTCCTATTATGCTCAAAATGTATTGTGAGCCTCATTTTCTTCTGTGTGGCTTTATTTCCTCCCTATAGGGAAATGCATTTATAGAACATTATGATCCAAAAGAGTATGATCCTTTTTATATGCACAAAGAGGATCCCAGTTTTCTGAAGGTAGGATAGATTTCTTATTTTAATTGTTGTATTATGTGGTTGTTTATTTTGAGCAGTCCTAACATATGAGTAGATCTTTAGTGATTCCCTAAGAGTATTATAACATCTTAAGAAGAGTTAACCATCCCTGTACCTTAGGAACAAAAAACTCAAAGGCCATAGTAAATTAAATCTCTGTAAAATTTGAAATATTATTTAATAATTAGATAAGAGGTAAGTTGTAGAAATTTCATAGACTTTAAATTTGTTACAAAAGTACATTTCATCATAGATAAATGAGAAAAGACTACTTATAGTTGCCTTACCCAGAATTAATTCATAACATTTCCTGAGTATACTTTAAGACTTCTTTTTTGTGGGTATGCACATACCCAGAGATACCTTTTTACTTTGCAAATATGGGATTATACCATACATTGGGATTTAGTAGTTTATGATTTACTTCTTTTTCTTTGTTAATAAATTTAGATACATAGTGTTAAGACTTTTTTTTTTTTTTCATTTTACTTCATTTCAGTGCTATACATGAAGTAATTCACAGATGAAGCAGGAGAGTCACAGATAGGGTAAATTACTTGCTCAGAGTCACACAGTTGGAAATAGCAGAGCATATTTAACCATCTTTCTATATCATCGTTTTTAAAAACATATCCCCTGTTTTAAGCACAGATATATTTGGATCTACTGCTTATAAATCCCATTATTTTGGGCATCCTGTGGCTATCTATCTTTTAATTTTTCCTTTGGATGACTTACTAGAAGTAGAACTACTGAATTAAATGTTATAGATTGTTTTTATTCATATTGCCAAATTGTCCTTCTGAATGATTGTATAAATGTATAAATTCCCAGTCCATTTCACATACTTTCGCTAAGCGTGACTATTATCAACCAGAACAAGACAAACAAGTCTGCCTTGGGTCACTGCTGCATTTGTTCCCCTCGCCCCCAAGTGAACTTAGTGCATGTGTAATATTGTCCCTATTTTTATAGGGGAGAGGTAAACCAAGAGTTTGGAGTTAAGAGTCCTAGACCCACTAACTAGTAACATATATAATAAAGGGGTAGAGTTTGGATCTGAGGCCAGTCTTTTTGTTACCCAAGCTCAGTATTTTTTTTTTTTTTCAAGCTCAGTATTCTTTATCATGCCACCTTGCTAAATGAACCCAAAGAGAACTTTTAAGATATGAGGAACACTTTGGGTTAATAGCTGCAGGACCTCTGAAACTCTTAGGAGGTCCATGAGGCCAAATCTTTTAATAATAGGGCTAAATGTTATTTGCCTTGTCACTGTGGTGGGCAAAAACTCTCTGGCGCTACAGACAACTTGAGTAGCACAACATCACCAAGTCATGCTAGTAGTCACTCTGTTCTTCATTCCATGTACCCCCTTTTTTAAAAAATGTGCTTTCACTTAAGTGTCTGATCAAGTAGCAAAAATTACTGATTTATTAAATCTTGCTCCTTGAATGACATCATTCAGCATTTTGTGGGATGAAGTGGGCAATCTGCAGAGAAGGTTCTGCAGCATGCAAACATATAGTCGATGGCTTCAATTTTGAGCTGACTTGATTTTTATTAAATACTATTTTTACCTGAAACAACAACTTACAACTGGCTCTGGTGATTAACAGTCAGATTAATATGACTATGGCTGTCTTGGGTAATGACAGACAACTTCTGGAAAATAAGTGAAGTGAATACATCACATGAAAAACAACTGACAGTATTTGTTACTTGTGACAAGCTATGAACTTCCAAGTAAAATAATTAGATTTTACTGGTGATATTAGTAATGGCACTACTTGTGATTATTATATAATAAAGTGTACTAACATTTGGAAGACTCACATAACTCAGTGATCCAATTTTCCCCCAACCAACCAAAGAATAGTCACTGTGATTTGAAAAGACTTTTCGAACAAGAATGAACCATGTTTCCTAGGCTGCAGGGCCTTGCTTAAAAAGGTAGTGGAGTGTTTTTGTCTCTTTGTAATGTGTTGAATATATTTCATGGTCAAGTGATTAGTGTGTAGATAGTGTATTCTCGATTTTTCTGGTATCAGAGCCATACATTCATGAATGGAATAGACTGAAAACACTTGCAACCCCGTGCTCACACAAGTGCTTCTCGTACAGGTTACCATGCCACCACTTCGGGACCCTTTGAAAAAGGTACAATTTGACAAAGATGATGAAAAAAGAACTCTTCTTCAGTGTGAGAATGGTACTTAGTTCCTAATTGTTATGTGATTTCATCTCCAGAAGCAATGGGAGCTACATTTGGGGTGCTAATTTAGGTTACTAATCTTCCTGCAGGCAAAATATATACAATGAAAGAATTTAAAGAGGTTGAGAAGGCCAAACTGCATTCCAGATTCCCAAGAATTTCTAATCCAAGGCAGTTTATGACTCCAAATGAGTGGCTTAAACTGCCTAAATGCTACATAGAAAGTGAATTTTGTAAAAGGAGAAGGTAACAGTTAATATAATTTACTATGGGATCTCATGGAATTTGAAAATGTCCTTAAGACAGTGGTGTAAATTTTGTCATAGCAATGATTGTTAAACATTTCATTTTTCATTGAGAAATCTACTCTAATTCCTCTCTTCATTCTCTGATACTTTTTTGGGGTAGTTTCAAGATTTTCTCTTGGTTTCTGTTGGCTGAATTAGACTGTGTTTAGGTGTGTGTGGGGGGAAAGGGGTTGTTATCCTTTCTTTCTGTTTGTTTCCTTGGGGCTTTCTCAGATTTTTATATCTGTGGCTTGATATCTTGGTTTTTTTGTTTGTTTTGGTAAATTTTAGGCTATTTACACTGCAACTATTTCTTAAATTCCATTATTTTTTTTCCTAAGACTCCAATTATATGTATGTGAGATAATTTAATAGATTCACAGCTCCACAGTTCTTATGCCCTGTCCTTTTTCTCTTTCCCCCCACTTGTGTTTCACTTGGACAATCTCTGTGCACCTATCTTTAAGTTTCCTGAGTTTCTCCTCAGTCCCTTCTGTTGATTAGCCCATCACGTGATTTTTTGTTCCATATACTGATGCCCATTTAAGGGATTCTTCATCTCTGATGTAATGATTTTTATTCCTAGCATTTCTATTTGAGTTTTCACATAGTTTCATTTCTTCTGAAAATATTCATCTGTTCATAGATGTTCCCCTTCCCACTAGATTCTTTGATATATTAATAATAGTTGGCCTCCCTGGTGGTACAATGGGTTAAATCTCAGCACAATGATGCTATCAGCAGCCACTACAGCATGAGTTCAATCCCCAGCTGGGGAGCTGACCCACATGGCACAGCAGACCTCTCCTGTCTCACCCGTTGCTCCCCTCAGCAGTGTATTTCCGTTGATCCACCTGTTCTGCTATCACTCTGTCTCTGGTGAATCCTCTCACTCTACCTCCCCACAATTCTGGCCTGTACTCCAGTTCTAGGAGGCATAAGTAAGTAAATAAATAAATCTTAAAAATTTTTTTCTATCTGATCATTCCATCAGTAGGTTCATTTCCAAATCTGGTGATGTTGGTTTACCTCTTGACAGTGGATTCCTTTGTCTTCCTATTACATGACTTTATTTTGGGGCATTCTTTTCACCTAAATTGGGAAAACGTTCCTTCATAAAGTATTTGCTTCTGTCTCTCTCTCCCTGACACAGCTGAGATGTCCTTAACTGGGCCCACCTCTTCCCCTTCCAAAGGTCTAGGCTCAGTGTGGTCATCTTCAGTTTAGTGTCCCCACATTTTAGGTGGGCAGGGCTCATGTCCTGCTAACCCTGTTATGGCCTCTTCCCTGAGTGTATTCTTCCTGTACTTCTGCCCACCGCCATGAGCCCAGCTGCCCACACTTCTGGCCTCCACCACCCAGGGTTTGGATTCTGTCTGGGAAAAGCATTTTACAGTTCTCCTTGCCCATGACACAATCTCTCTTGCTTCTTATTATTGCAGTACAGTATAAGCTCTCTGTGGGTAGAGAGTACTTTAAAGTTTGTCTAAGTGACTCTTGGTTCTCAGTAAATAGTAAACTTCATGGTTTTAGCAATTCATAACACCCATGAATATACAATAGTATATATGCTAGAATATACCAGCATTTAGTGGCCTTTGGCCAATATACATAGGTCAATGTGCAACAAAAATTTCTGCAGTATAGTTTTCAAAACACCCTCACACACACTATCTTGTTAAAGGTTAAAAGTGAAAGTGAATTTTAACTACAGTAACTTTGACCCAGCGCCCACGACAAGAGGACCTCACCTTCTGGAACCTCTGGAAGAAGAAAAAGCTATCGTTTGTAGGTAAGCTCAGTTATAGTCCGGAGTTTGTGTCATTTTGGATGCTTGCTGTATTTGTCCTGCTTTTAAGCTGCTGGCATCAGAGCTGCGGCCCGTCCCAGACTCTCACTGCCTCGTCCAGCCTGATGCTACCTTGTCTGCGGGAGGGAGGTGGATGAAAATACTACCGGAGCAAAGTAATGTTGTTGATTGGGGTTTCTTTCTTGTAAGCTTATGTAGAACTCAACAATTGCAAATGTGAATAGAGTATTAAATACGACAGTAGAGTTGATAGAATTCTTTCCTTTCTGATTCTTCCCTATAGAAATAAAGGGTCATCTCCTTTGGAGCAAGAACCTCTATGCTATCAGGAGGGACAGAACCCAAGCCCCAAGGAGGCCAACTCTGAAGGGCACTTTTCTTCCCTGAGCCTTAGCCAGGAGGTAGAAAGGGATGAGGACCAGGATACGGCGAGAGCTGGGAAGTCCCATTTCGCAGTAAGCAAGGCGGCAATCTGGACCACAGTCTGAGCAGCTGGGAACTTCTTTCCTGGATGGGAGACTTCTAGGAAGAGAGGGTTCAGCGGTGCCTCTCGCCCCAGGCACCCAGGCAGAGAGAAGCAAGCTGAAGCTGGGAGGACTGGGGAGAGCTGCCCCTGGAGTTACCCCTGAGGCGCCCTGTGGGGATGGCCTGGAGCATTCCCGTGGCTCCCTGCGCTCTCTCCACCATTTCTACCACTCCGCTACCACTGACCGCTTAACACGCCTAAGCGAGGCCCCAAGCTTTGTTCCCCTTAATTCAACCAATAATGTTGAAAATCCTCAAAAGGGCTATGTACCAAATTATAGTTGTAAAATTCAAGAAGTAAAGGTCCCAAATGTAAAATGGAGGTGTTCGCAGAACACAGGCTTCTCGTCCTCAAGGAACTGGTCAACGTGTCCAGCCTGACTGCAGCTTCCAGGACGAGGGGCCACCTCCCCGCCAGTTCCCGTCTCCACTGCCTGTGTCCTGGGGGTGGGGTCTGGACTACACTTGAGGAGGAGTGGGTTTGGAGGAGTCACAGCCCCCCCCACTTCCACCTCCCTGTTAAAGTCAACGAAGCTGCTATACATCTTCTTTCACCCTCTGACTGCCCTTACCCCTAAGGAATAAGGAAGCTATTTACTCACTTACAGAAAAGGCACTAAAACTTTCTTTTGTGGGTCAGCTCCTTTTATTGCCACTACTTGCTTGCTTTCTTCCTCAAAGATCTGGCAAACATGCACTTGGCCAGACGGTGTTCGGGGGCAGGAGCCCTGGCAGTTAGCAAAACCAAGAAGCTCTGCTGTGAGGGGCTTACACTGCATGAGACAGACCACGAGCAGATAGAGCATGTGCGCGGGCCGTAGTGCAGTGCAGACAGCGGGCGAAGGGGCACGGGCGGGGTGCAGATGGCCCGCGAGGGAAACACGTTCACTCACTTTGTCACCTCGCCCTGTACGCCTTCTTCGCGTGCTGTGCCATGTCCACGTATCTTGAATCCCGCTAGCTCCACACAGGGTTAGTTCTGACTTTTACCTTCCTGTCCTAGCACAAACTGCTTCCCCTCCAGTTTCCTGCCAGTTTCCAGGTCAACTAGCACCACAATCCAACCAGGACACCTCAGGCCAAGATCCCAGGTGTCATCTGTGATGACCTTTGCTTGGGCCACGCACCTCCCCCTAACAGCATGGGCGTGGCAAGCTCCGCGCTCTGGGCTGGCCTCTGCTGGTCTTCCTCCCTGGTCCCCTCTTCTGCTTTCACCCCTCTGCAGACACAGCCTCCAATGGCTCCTCTTGCACTCAGGATCACGCTGTGACCATGACCCGGCCTCTGGCCTGGTCGTCTGGTTGAGCACCTGCTGCCTCTCCCCACCCCTCCTCCTGCTTTCCCCTCCACACTCACTGACCTCCAACCCTGCTGGCCACTCACTGACCTCCAACCCTGCTGGCTTGTGTCCTGAACAGGCCAGTCACTCCTGCCTCAGGCATTTGTCTCTGCCAGTCCATCTGTCTGGAACATTCTTTCCCCAGATGACTCCACACCTGAGTCCCTCAGTTCACACAGATCTCTGCCCAGATCTCTTCTTCTGAGAGTCCTTCTCAATATCGCTACTGAAAGAGATATTGGGCCTATGTCCATTCCCTTATCTTTTCCCCTCCTGCCTCTTTCCTCCACCTGTGAAGAGGTGGGGTCTAGGACTTGAAGGGCAGGACAGGAGGGAGCGCACCTGTCCATTATGAGGGGAAGGAAAACAGAAACATGGAGGTAGATGAAGCTTTTGGTGAACTTTGTAAGGAGATTGTCTTTTTCTGTTTCCTTCATTTTTCTCAGTGAAGTCAGAGCTCTGGTCATCTGTCTGCTGACAGTGGAGGTGAGAGGCAGAGGAAGAGAAGTGCAGAAGGAATCTAGTTTTCCCCAAGTCACAATAATTGCAGTGTACATCAGTGCTGCAGACATAGAAGCAGGCGCCCAAATCATCTCACATCAGAGCTGGACCCCACTGGTAGTACAGGTGCCCCCCCCCCAGTCTCTCCTTGTCCGAATCCAGATGGAATGGGAGAGACTGAGGCAGGGGCTTAGGTGGGACCTTGCCTGACAGATGGATCACCAGGTCTGGCAGGAGTTTCAGGGCGGTGCTGAGAAACGTTTTCTGTTCTCACAAGCCCCTTATTTAGCTTTTCTCTTCTGCCACTTCCAGAAGGTTTTAACAACTAAGGAGCACATACCCTAGTCCTCCTGGCAAGAGAGGCCATAAAAGACCACTTCCGAGGAAGCCGCCTCTCAGGAGCCATCACTCAGGGCGAGCACCAAGGAAGGCACTCAAGGATTGTTCTATGTCTAAGCAAGAATCTATAATAAATTTAATTTCATTTTTGAGTTGTGTCAGTATGATAATTAAGAAGTGACAATATCATGTATTGATACTTATTTCAAATTGTTTTCCCCAGATGTTAAAAATTTTATTTGAGCGCTCCAGTAAAACTAATAGCTACCCTGCTGGGTGTCTCAATTCATTTGGTCTTCCCCTAACTTAGGTGGTGCCTCCTTTGGGTAGCACTCTTAAAGTCCACACCCGCGTACTCTCCCCAGGTTTTCCCAATAGGCTTCAGAAAATTAAAAGATTCCTTTTGAGTTTGCCCACAGCTGATTACCCACTTGTTGCGTCTGCATCTGCATTTCTCCTTCCGGGGTCTGGTAAGGTGACTTCTAGTCACAGTTTGCATAGTAGAGCACAGGAAAAGGGGTCACCTGGGAGCCTTCGCAGAAGTGGGGGGTCCGAGTGCTCGGCCTCCGTCCACACCACATAAATCCACAGTTGCCAGAGGCGCTCCTTTCCTAGCCGTGCCAGCGTTCCCATAAAACGCTGGCTGCATTGTCAGTGCAAACAGTTGGAGCTCAGCAGTTTGCAAGATCAATGTATCAACCTGAGGGCACCAACAGGGTGGGATTTATTCACAGTGGCAGTAAGTGGTGGGGCCTTCCATTTATTTTTATGCCTTAACTGCAGATTTCTGGCATCTGAGCTTATGTTTTCTTGCTTTATTTAATCTTCTCATTCTGTATCTTCACCCTTTTATTTTTCCTTGACACTTATCCAGTCTTCCAGCGACTCATACTCAATCAATACAACAACTAGATTAATTTTTAGGGAACTTTCAAAAAGTATCCCGAAAATCAACGATGATTATATGAACCCTAAAATATCCAGCATCTGGATTTAACAATGAATGGTCATTTCACGGCCAGTCCTGGTTCATCTCCATCTGTATCCGTTACTCATCCACAACTGGATGATTTATTTTTTATTTTTATTGTTTTTTTCCTCCCTTTCCCTCAACTGGATGGTTATGAAGCAAACTGTTTATAGCATCCTATCACAAGCTATCATTTCCCACGCTGTTGGGCAGAAGGTGGAATCCTTTCCTTTGTTTTGCTTGGGCAAGAACACCAATTCCAACATCTCATATATTCTCTGCAGGAGTACAGTTGTGAGTAACAAGCTAATTAGGACTAACAAGCAAAAGTAAAGCTGGGATCCATTAGATGGATTGTGTGTCCACATGTGGATGGATGTACCCCATGGAATCCTGAGAACAACAGGGCTCCTCACGAAGGGTGAGGACCCTACCACATCGAGCTCTGAGCAAGAGACCCCAGGCCTCCTCGAGTGCTGTCCTGAGCGTGACACCTTTACCTCTCCTAGTCTTTATTTTGGCTCATCATCTCATAGAATCCTACTAGTAAGTGGGGTGCTTACTGCGCCCCACTTAGGTTAGATATGAACCCTTGGGCCATGAAGTTGCAGCCAAGCACATGCCAGAGAAGGAAGCATTGCCATCAAGAGTCCAGTGCAGAGTGGAGACAGAGTTCAGCAGAGACGGGGCCAGACAGGCCTCCACGATGACCACCGGGGGCAGTCAGGAGAGGAGAGTGGCTGAAGAAGGCTGAGACAAGACACAGGCAGGCAAGAGATGGGCTGAGGGGGTTGGAATTTGGGGGGAGATCCTGAAGGATATACACTCTTCAGTGTCTTTTTCCCCTTTTACATTATCTCATTAGCCAAATCAGACTTCTAGAAATCACATCATCATTAAAGAAGTATTGTTACTCTACCTTGTTTTTTATTTTTTGAAGATGTATTTTTTTATGCATATAAGAACTGGGGTACAGGCAGAGGTGTGGGGGGATGGGGCAAGAGGATTCACCAGAGACAGAGTGGGGAACAGAACAGGTGGATTTACTGAAATACACTGCGGAGAGGAGCAGCGGGTGAGAAAGGAGAGCTCTGCTGTGCCATGTGGGTCAGCTCCCTGGGTGGGGATCAGACTTGCTGCAGTGGCTGTGGATGTTTCACAGTGCTGCACTTTAACCCCTTGCACCACCTGGGAGGGCCTACTCTACCTTGATTTTATGTGGCAGAAGAATAGATTAGGTAGAGTGAGGCTAGTCCCGTTCCATGAATCAGTCATTAGTGCTTACTCCATGGCAACCTTCCTGTTCAGGCAAGAGCTGGGTCTTTCAGAGGACTTCTTTTAAAAAGGCAGCCTAGGGCCTTCCCTGGTGGCGCAGTGGGTTAAAGCACAGCACTGAGAAGCTAAGGCCACTTCTGCATGAGTTCGATTCCCGCCTGCCCCAGAGGAGCTCCACATGGTGTGGCAGACCTCTCCTGACCCGCCCGCTGCTCCCCTCAGCAGTGTACTTCGTTGATCTGCCTGTTCTGCTCCCCACTCTGTCCCTGGTGAATCCTCTCACCCTCCGCATCTCTGGCCTGTACCCCAGTTCTGTATGAATAAATAAATAAATCTTTAAAAAAAAAAAAAGGCTGCCTAGACATATTTAGAACTTTTAAAATAGAACCCAAGTGCAAGTTTATTCAATGGACAAGGCTAACATTTCACAAATGACAAATGAAATTTGTGACTTAAATAACTTTGGGGGAATAGAACTACTTTTATTACAGTCGTAAATTAAGTCATAAATGGAAGCAGCCAGCAGCCTACTGACTGACTAGGTCAAAATGGCAACTCTACAGAGGTCAACTGTGAAGCTTAAATGATGGATTCTCTCTAGGCGGAAGAGTCTCCAGTCTCTTAAATATGTATTATGTTGATATTGAATCTCATTTCATGTAGAAGTCAAGAGTATGTCTCATTAAATCATTTATTTTTACTGAAGTATTTATTGTCCATTTTTTGTTGTTGTTGGATAGTCTGCCAGGTGCTGGGGATATAAAAATGATCAGGCCCAAGCCCTCTCGCCTAGAGTTTAGTGGGAGAAACAGTAAAGAAAAGATTCCACTACTATAAGCTCTCTGATTTAGTAGGTATCTATCTAGAGAATCGAGTGTCTACTTAAAATCTCAGTGAAGGGCTACCTATTAAAAGGACAATCTTTAGCAATTATTTCTAACATTGTTGGGGTAACTTTTTTTTAAAAAAGATTTGTTTATGCATACGGAATTGGGGTATAGGTCAAAGGTGCAGGAATGATGAGAGGATTCACCAGAGATAGAGTGGGGGAGCAGAACAGGCAGATACACTGAAATACACTGCAGGGAGGAGCAGTGAGCAGGTCAGGAGAGGTCTGCTGCACCCAGAGGTCTGCTGCTCCCTGACTGGGGGTCGAACTCATGCTGTAGTGGCTGTGGTAGCTTTATAGTGCTGTGCTTTAACCTTACATTGCACCACCAGGGAGGGCCCTGGTGTACACTTTTAATTCATTCAAAACCTGGAACTTTTTTTTTTAAATAATACAATAGCTTATTTTTACATCATTTTGTGTATTTTCCATCTTAGTTGTAATCCCCATGGGCTTCCCATCACCAAATCACCCATGTGCCATCACCATAGTCCAGTGCATTTCCCTCTCCCCCACTGTTTTTGATCCCATTCCCCACTCCACCCCCATAAAATGTCTCTGGTCATTATTATAGCTGTATATTATTATTATTTTCTTGACTAGTCCATTGTACTCCTGCTATGAGTGAAACCATCCCGTATTTTTCCTTTTCTTTCTGGCTTATTTCACTAAGCATGATCTTTTCCAGCTCCAACCATGTTGCTGCAAAAGGCATGTGTTTATTTTTCTTGGTTGCTGAGTAATATTCCATTGTATATATGTACCACATCTTTTTAATCCAGTCATCCACTTTTGGCCATTTGGGTTGTTTCCATGTTTTTCCAATTGTAAATAAAGCAGCAATAAACATGGGGGTGCAGGTATCTTTTTGAATCAATGTTTTTGTGTCTTTTGGGTAGAGACCTAGGAGTGGGATTGCTAGGTCAAATGGAAGCTCCATTTTTAGCAGTTTGAGAAACCTCCAAACAGTTTTCCATAGTGGTTGTACTAGTTTGCATTCCCACCAGCAGTGCAGGAGTGTTCCTTTTTCTCCACATCCTCGCCAACATTTGTTGTTGCTAGTTATTTGAAGATGTGCCATTCTCACTGGGGTGAGGTGGTATGTCATTGTGGTTTTAATTTGCATCTCCCTTATTACAAGTGATGCAAAACCTGGAACTTTTACAGCCACTCTCCAAACCCATTTCTCAAGGGTGGTAGGAGATGCAGCTATGACAAAGGACCCGTTTTATTTCTATAGAAGAAAAAGGTTCACATACACAATGGCATCATCCAAAGGAAGTTGGGGTCAGAAAACAATTCTCCAACTCGCCTGCCTGCCTCTGCCGCGAGAAGGAATCAAAGAAGCAGCCAGCATATTGCGCGGATTTCAAAAGACTGAGTCCCCAACTTTGTATTCCCAGATAAAACTAGTCACTCCCTTAAAGTGAAAGTGAGGACCCGTAGGTCCCCAGACAGCCAGCCCCATATCCACCTGCCAACCTCGACAGTTTCCTTGAAGAAGCCCGACCCGTCTACTCACCACCAGGAGAAATGAACGTTTTAGACAGAAAAAAGCCTGACCACAATAAGGGAGTGGCGGCCCAGCGAGAGCCCTTTGCCGGCCATTTCCAATGCTGTCAACCCACACTGCAGTGAAACCAGGAAAAGCCCCACTTTGGTTCCCAAGTTTTATTACAGAACTCATACAAAATAGGCCAGGTAAACTAACTCCCTGTGTGGTTCTGATACAAGGCAGTAGGGACACTGAAGTCGCCAAAGCCCCTTTGCCTGATACTTCTCTGTTACTGTCTGGGTTCTTCACCCGTGCACATAGTTGCAAGACTGCTCAGGCTTAGAAAATAACAAGGGGATTTATTTAGCGAAAGGGAAAAACACGAGTTACGGAGGCCCGTGATGGCCGTTTACTTTACCCAAAGTTGTGTCCAGTACCGTCCAGTCCTGCAGAAGGCCTTATGATGGCGTCTTCCCGCCACTGAGGACCAAGCTCCTCTGCCCATCCATAGGCCGCGTGTCTAAGACGGCTGCAAGCTGTGGGCCAGGATCCGAGTCACCAACACAGCAAGGGACAGAGCACGAAACGCTGCTGGAGCTGCGAAACGCCCCAGCCCCGCACCAAACCAGCGCTACTCAAGGCCACAACTGTAGTGGCCGAATGACCTGACCAAAGGCCACACGCACTCTAACAAGACCCCTGCAGCCACTCTACACCACCGCAGCCGCTGGGCCTCCCGGCCTCCCCGGCCCCCCCGGCCCTTCTGGGTCTCTCCCAGCCGGGCTCTCCCCCGCATGCGCAGCACGGAGCTTTTTGCTCTGTCCCGTGCGCATGCGCACCTGTGAAGCTTCTCAGACCATTTTTTAGCCCCTTATATACGTTTTCTGTCGTTTCACCCCACTTCTAGCATTTTCCTGTTTTTGACTAGCAAACCCCTCCAGGGGCACCACCATTAAGTTCACGGTTTCAGCTACTTTTGTTTAAGCAGTTTAAGCCTGCCTGTGTAAAGCATCCAGAGCACGTACAGATCTTCCATTAAGTTCACACAGCTTGACGAGGGTCCTCAACTCTGCCTTCCCCCTAACAAGAGGAGTTGAACCCCCACTTTGTAAACAGCTGCCATCTGGGGCAGCTGCCCAAACCCTCAGTGCTGCTGGTGACTTCAAACCGCCC